AGAGAGATTAATGTGTATCTTTATCATAGGAGGGGATTTCCTCCTTGACGCCTATGTGGTACAATCCCAACCATCCACATAAAGTAGGAGAGAGAGAGTGAGTTTGTGGGGATTTGTACTTACTTAATGTGTATCTTTATCATAGGAGGGGATTTCCTCCTTGACGCCTATGTGGTACAATCCCAACCATCCACATAAAGTAGGAGAGAGAGAGTGAGTTTGTGGGGATTTGTACTTACTTTATGAGGATGGTGAGGAGTGTGCCACACAGACGACAAGGAGGGAAATCCCCTCCCATGATAATGATACGCATTAATCTCTCTCTCTATATATATATAGAGAGAAAGAGAGATAGTAAAGTGAAATATTTAAAGATGCTCAATTTATAATTCTAAAACACATTTTGTTGAATTCTAAAAAATATAAATGAAATAATTAGAGAAAAGTAGAACATTTAAAAACTTTCATTAAGTAAAGATTTATTAATAATTGAGAATAAAATTTAGGATAATAAAAAAGTTAATAGAAACAAACCTAATAAATTGAAATCAAGGACAAAAATTGGATATTAATTAACTAAACTAAATAAATTCAATAAAAAGTTAGATTTTTGAAATAAATCATCAAGAAATCCTATCCAAATAGTTCTCATATAATTTCAATCTCTAAAATATCATCCTCTTTAGTTTTCCCATTAATTTCTTTTAAGACCCGATACAGTTATATTATATTAAAATGATATGATATAAAATAAAGAAAATAATATAACATCATGAGTGTTCAAAATCAAGAGAACTGTCCCCAATTGAAGATCTCTCGATCCTAAAAACAAAAAAACTAATAGTTAGAAAAAGAGCAAAAAACTGTTAAGAATTCATGAAAAGAGGGAAAATTTATAGCTTATAGTTCTTATCTGAACTTGTCGAAGGATTATCCTAAAAAATAATATTAAAAAAATGTTAAAAATTCATGGGTAAGTCTCACTATATCTTAGATCTAATCAAATACTACCTTAAATACTACCTAAAAAAATGATATTAATAAATGTTAAAAATTCATGGGTAAGTCTCACTATATCTTAGGTCTAATCAAATACTACCTCACATACTACCTTATATTAAAAAATGTTAAAAATTTTATTGAATCAATTATTGAAATATTTATTTTTATATTAGTTATTGATGAAACAATTATTGCCAGTTACACAGATAAATTCATATTTTAGAAAAAGATTTAAAAAAATCAAAAATTCAGAAATCATGATAATCAAAAAATAATAAAACATTAAGAAATATCTAAAAATAAAAATATGGATATTATGCAATTTATGAAAATAGAAATATTTTCAGTATAAATTAATATTTTGAATAAAATTAGATTTTCTTAAATTAAAAATATAGATATTTTTTAAAAGTAAAATATCAAAATTTATGAAAAAAAATCATATTTTCATAAAAAAATTAGATAATAAAATATCAATTACTAAAAGTAAATATTTTAGAATTTTATGAACTTAACTAATTTCTCAATCATAACTCATGATAATTATTTGTTGTAATAATTATTTAAAGAAATTACGACCCAAAATATTATATTCAAAAAATTTAACAAAAACTTTAAAAATAAATATTACGTATAAAAAAATAAAATTTTAGAACTATTTAATAATTAAAAAGGAAATTCAAATTAATTTAGGTATTCATTAATCTCATAATTACTATTTTTAAAGAATTTTAAAATTACTTTATTTCAAAGTTGATACGAAATTAAAAATAATTTGGAAAAAAAAAACAATCTAATTTTGGTATTTCAATTAAATTAAGATTCTTTTTCCATTGCTTCACTTAAAATATGAATTCTTTTATACATAAATTTGGTAACTTGAATTAGGTAACTTGAATTAGGTAACTTGAATTAGGTAACATCAACTTGGTAATTTTAATTTTTTTGAAAATTTGGTATTATTTAATCTCAAAATTAGTATTAAATTTGGTATAAAAATATATTTTCACAACTATCCTTCAAAATACAAAATCTAAATTAAAATTTGAAATTCAAAAACTAAATAATTTCCAGAATTTTTTTAAAAATTATTTAAAAATAGAAAACCATAAAATCAAATTATTATTGAAAATAAAAAATAAAAAATTATTATTTTTTGAAAAAGTTTTAATAAAATTCGATTTAATTTATGTAGTCATTAATCTCATAATAATTATTATTTTTGAAAAAGTTTTAATTAAATTATTTAAAAACTGCTATTAAATTCAAAATAATTAAAAAATGGGAACAAGATCTAAATTTGGTAATATAATTAAAATAAGACTTTTTCTATTTATTTACTTAAAATATGAATCTATTATACATAAATTTGGTACCTTGAATTAGGTAACATAAATTGATAATTTTGAAATTTGTTGGAATTTTTGTATCATTTAATCTCAAAATTAGTATTAAATTTGGTATAAAAATAAATTTTCACAACTATCTAAAAGAAAAAAAAATACAAAATTGAAATTTAAATTTGAAATTGTAAAACTATATAATTTCCTTATATATTTTAATTTCAGTAATACAATTTTAAAAATCTAAAATTTTATATCAATATTAAAAATTTCAAAAATAAAAATCCACAAATTTTATGGGATATAAAAAATTTAAAAAACCCTTAAATCTTAAGATTTTTGTTTTTTTGCTTCCGAAATCATACTAAAAAACATGAATCAAAATTTTCACTGCCAAAAACATCTCCCACGTAATTCTACCGACCCAAGTGAAAGCTTTAGTTAACATTGTCAAGGGTAAAGTTAGAGGAGTTCTTCTGATAATTTCTCAAATTAATGAGGTTTTTCTGATATTTTGAAAGTTATGGGGTGGGGGTAGGGGTGCTAAACCGTATCCGTATCCAAGAAAATATTCGTAACCGAATCCGTTAGGATACGAATATGGTTACTCAAATCTATATCCGATAGGATATGGTTACAGATATGATTTTGTAGTGAAATATCCGTATCCGTATCCGAAATATCCGAATACATATTAGTCATACTCTTATGATAGTTTCGATTATTAGATTATGGATTTGTGGTTAATTTTGATGATCAAGATGTCTAATCTTAACTTTTCAATTATAATGGACATATTAACAAACTCTTTTGTATCACATGAACTATGTTTTTCTCAATACTATCTAGTTTTCTCATATCTGTTTTGTATCTGCATGCATATCCGCTTATATATCCGTATGTATATCCGTAACAGTATCCGATTTTAGCGGATATGGTTATAAATTTTTCTTACCTAGATATATCCGTATCCGTATCAGTATCCGAGATGGGTAAGCGGATATGAATATGATAAGCGTCATATCCGAGCCGTATCGGGACCGAATGCATCCCTAGGTGGGGGTGATTATCCGCTGATCGCTGAGCGCTGATCGTCCAAGGTTTAGAAGGGTTTTATTAATATTTAGGCTTTTTTACTAATGTTTTCGGCCAAGGCCCAATTCTGTGTTTACAGGCTAACCGCTACAGACCAAACCCACTTAAGGAATTATCAAAACTTGAGCAGATCTCGTAAGAAGCCCAGAAAAACCTGAAAAAGCAACAATAATAAAGCTCTTTCTTTCCCTTGTGGCTTGTGGTCGGAATCGCTGGAGAAGAGATCGAAGCTTTGAAGGCGACTCCCAATAAATCAGGAGGCGAGAGAGGATGAGCTACGCGTTACCAAATCTAAGCTCAAAGAGAGAGGTAGACAGTATTATAAGGGACACCCTGGATAGAGTCCTCGTCCTCCGCTTCGGCCGCTGCTCTGATCCCATCTGCCTCCAGCTCGACGACATCGTGAGCTCCCCTAAAATTGTCCCAAAAAACTCTATTATTTTTTTCGCGATCATTCCGTGTTATTATTTGCCTTTTCAATTCTTTGATTTTGCCCTGATGCGTGAATAATCCCGATTCGTTATGTGGGTTTAGACTCATGTAATTGTTCCATAGATTCGAGATAACTTTTATTTATTTATAAATTATGTTTCGTTTTAAGCTTTTACATTAACTTTTTACTCCTTATAACTCTTTTTTTTAATAGACTCGGTTTCTTTTCCTCCATAATATTGCTATATGAACAGCTCGCAAAATCCTCAAGAGACATCTCGAAGTTCGGCGTTGTAGCGTTGGTAGATATGGATGCAGAGGAGGTGCAGGTTTATGTCAAGTACTTCGATATTACGCTGATACCGTCCACTGTCTTCTTCTTCAATGCGCATCATATGAAGATGGACTCTGGGTAATTTTCTATGCACCGAATACTGTCTAATTGCTCGTACGTGTGAGTCTATGTTTTGTTTGTATTTTGCTTCGGGCCTTTAGAAATGCAGATTGTAACTGTTGGTTTCGGGAGTGGAGAGCCAAACCTAGAATCAAAATCATAAACCGCACAGAAATTACCTTATCGGTCGACCGACACAAGCTCATCGGTCGACCGATGTGAAGACAAGAAAAACTACAGGAGTTTCGGGACGGTCGACCGAAAGCGTGCACGAAATACAGAGTTCTGACCGGTCGACTGAAGCAATACTATCGGTCGACCGATGGCGATCAACTAGTCGACCGATGCGATGCTATCGGTCGACCGAAGTCGGGTCTGACAGTTTCCAGATTCGGGTTGGAATCTGTTTTTGGACTGTGTATATATATATATGTTTCCTAAAACGTTTTTAGGGTTATGGGAGGACGTTTTTGAGAGGGTTTTGATGACACTTTAAGATCAGATATCTTAGAGAGAGTGGCTTATTGCGAGCATTGTAATCTTTTTTAATTAATCAAAGAATTTCTGGTGTGGCTCCCGAGGACGTAGGCACGTTTGCCGAACCTTGTTAAATCTGGTGTTTTCTTCTTTTGTTCATTCTTTCCTGCAAGTTTTCTTTTATTTGCTGTGATTTCTTGCTTGCCTACTCTTAAGGGTACGGGTTGTTGTTTGTGTGTTTAACCCCAACAACTGGTATCAGAGCTTCGTTCGACAAAGTTTGTGAGTGAAAGAAGTGACAGAAGAATGCAAATCGAAGATCGAGACGTTTGATGAATCAGACTTCGCCTACTGGAAGTCGCTGATGGAGGACTATCTGTACCAGAAGGATCTTTACTATCCGTTGATGGAAAAAGCTAAAGAAAGAAAGGAATCAGACGAGGACTGAGAAATACTAGATCGGAAGGCTGTAGGGCAGATCCGGTTGTCTCTCGCCAAATCAGTCACCCATAACATAATGAAGGAGAAGGCGACGGTGGGCCTTTTGGAAGCGCTCACGAAGATGTACGAATAACTGTCAGCTAAAATAAGGTGCATCTTGTCAAGACACTCTTCAACCTTAAGATGACAGAAGGATAGTCCTTCACGTTACATCTCAGCGAGTTCAACACGATCGTTGATCAACTTATCTCCGTCGATATTATATTTGATGACGAAGTGCATGTCCTATTGATTCTATCGTAGTTGTCGGATAGTTGAGCATGTTGCGTGATCGTAATTAGCAACTCGACGGGAAAGGAGAAGTTAAAACTGAGCGATGTTGTAAACATGATTCTATACGAGGAGGTTAGAAAAAAATCGTTCGAATCAAAAGGTTCAGATTCAGCCCTAAATCTCGAACAGAGAGGCCGAAGCTAGAAGAAAGGTAATCAGAACAAAAATCGATCGAAGTCGAAGAAGTAGAGGTTGAACTCGAAAGTTAGGCCTATCAAAAGGAAATATTGGAACTGCGGCCAGGAGGACCATATATCTTCAGTCTGCAAAGCGTCAAAGAATGATGCGAATGAGCAGGAGACTCATATCGTGCAAGATGTATTGATCCTTGCTATGGACAACGACTTCGATTCATGGGTTATTGATTCGAAAGCCTCATTATACGCCACTTCTAATAGGAAGCTTCTTCAGAACTATATAGCAGAGGACTTTGGGAATGTGTACTTGGGGGACAACGAGCTTTACAATATTATTGAAAGAGGCGATGTGTAGATTCAGATGAAGGGCTCTAAGTAGAATCTGAAGAATGTCAGACATGTATCAAAACTGAAGAGGAGTCTTGTTTTAGTTGGCCAGCTTGGAGCGGAAAGCTATGTTTTAACATTCACCGAGGATTCGTGAAAGATTTCTAACGGTACTGTGGTGGTTGCCCGCGGCAACGAAACAAGAACTTTCTACCTTAATTCACATGCGAGTGACATCCTCGCAGTTACAACTGGCAAGAAGAGTGCATATCTGTGACACAATTGGCTGGGACACATGAGTGATAAGAGTATGAAGATTCTATACTCACATGAAAAACTAACCGACATCGATTCAGTTAAAGTTGATGTTTGTGAGGATTGCATATACAGAAAGCAGAAAAGGGTAAGCTTTCAGAAGAGTGAAAGACTACCTAAAGCTCAGAAGCTAGAGCTTGTCCATATAGATATTTGGGGTCCAGCTAACATGTCTTCTTTTGACAGTTCGGTGTACTATGTCACATTTTATCGACGATCACTCGAGGAAGGTGTGAGTATACTTCATGAGCACAAGTCAGAGGTATTCGGGATCTTTAAGAAGTGGAAAGTCATGGTAGAGAACGAGACAGATCTGAAAGTGAAGTGTCTGAGATCGGACAATGATGGAGAATACGAGCTGGAGGAGTTCAAGATGTTCTATGGTGTAAACGGGATTCGTTTAGAGAGAAATACTCCAGGAACATCGCAACGAAATGGTCTTGCAGAGAGGATGAACATGATGTTGACAGATCGTGCGAGGAGCATGCGTTTACATGCAGGTCTACCTAAGATATTTTGGGCGGATGTGGTGTATACAACAACTTATTTAATTAATCATGGGCTATCACTTCCATTGGATTTTGGGATTCTAGAAAAGGTTTGGAGTGACAAGAAGGTTAATCTCTCATATTTATAAGTATTTGGTTGCGTGACATATGTTCATATCAGTGATCATATCAGGAGCAAGCTAGAAGCTAAGTCACAGAAATATACATTCATTGGATACAATATTGATGAGTTCAGATATCGTCTTTGGGATGAGAAGAACAGAAAAATCATCATGAGCAAAGATGTGATATTCAATGAAGAGGTGGTGTACAAGAACAAAGATAATACCAATGATAGCCAAAGAAGTGGGAGAAACAATAAGAATATAGGTGGATCCGAGTATATGGATTTGAAGGAACTTTCAGATGAGGGAGACAGTATCAGTTCTGACCGAAGAACGGAAGAGACTCCAGGTGCAGAGACTACTACCCAGGGCGTGGAGCTTAGAAGGATATCCAAAGTACTCAAACCGAATCTCAGATATTTTTCATCACTTGATTACTTATTTTTGACTATTGTTTTAAATATCCCCGACATGGCCTGATATATCCCCCGATATATCCTTTTACAGGGTTTGCCGCAACCGATATGGTCTTTAAATATCCTTTACTGCTTTTTGGCTATTTTAAGTGATAAATCCCCGATATGATCGATATATTAGCCGATATGTGGACCAATATATCTTTTTATATAGCTTGTTACAAAATAATATACCGTGTTTGGAATTTTTGGGTGAGATATCAAGATTTTTCCATTATATCAAATGACATTTTGCTCTAAAAAAGCAGATCGAATGTTGCAACATTGCTTTGCACTTTTATTTGTTTTAGAAGGTTGATTAGTGATCCTAAACATATATTATTCATATTTTGTATGCTTAAATTTTATTATATATGTTGAGATTACATTATAATACATTATACTATGTATGTAAACATTCATTATTGCATTCTGATATTTACCACATATCCCCGATATCCGCAATCCGAAACGAATTTTGGCCATCCGATATTTTTTCGATATCCGATATTTAAAACCTTGCTTTTGACAGATAGCGAAGAACCAGAATGCTATGAGGAGGCTATGCAAGTTAGTGAATCTCAGCAGTGGGAGCATGTAATACAAGAAAAGATGAATTCTCTACACTCGAACGAGATTTAGGAGTTAGCCTAGCTACATGTACAGAAGAAAACCTTACATAATAAATAGGTCTATCGAGTCAAACAGGAAAGTGATGGAAGCAAGAGGTACGAGGTCAGATTAGTTGTGAAAGGATTCCAACAGCGGGAAGGAGTGAATTATACGAAGATATTTTTTCCTATCGCGAAGCTTACAACCATCAGAGTGGTGTAGAGCTTAGTAGCTGTTAAAAATCTCTACATTGAGCAGTTAGATGTGAAGACTGCATTGCTTCATGGTGATTTGGATGAAAAAATCTACATGAAACAACCTGTTGGTTTTGTAAAAGAAGGAAATAAAGAGATGCTTTGTAGGCTTAAGAAGAGCTTGTACGGTTTAAAACAGGCTCCGAGACAGTGGTACATGAAGTTCGATAGCTTCATACATAGCAATGGTTATGAAAGATGTAATTCAGATCATTATTGTTACTTCAAGAGGTTCGATTCTAGCTATATCGTCTTATTATTGTATGTTGATGATATATTAGTTGCAGGACCATATTTAGAAGAGATAAACAAGTTGAAGAAGTAATTGCCGAAAGAGTTTGCTATGAATGATCTGAGTGTAGCGAAGTAAATTTTTGGGATGCGAATCAGTCGAGATGAAGCCGAAGGGACGTTAAAGTTGAGTTAGGCTGAATACATTGAGAAGGTATTTCAGAGATTCAACATGGAGAATGCTAAACCCGTCAGCACGTCCTTTAGAAGTCAATTCAAGTTATTTGAGGAGTAATTGTTAGACCCTAGAGGGGGGGTGATTAGGGTGTTGTGCTAATCTAATCCGATTAAATACCAATTAAAATTAATTAATAAGTTATCCTAGCAAGTATAAAATACAACAATATTTGTAAGCTAGGATAAACAATATGAACAACAATATATATCCTAATAATGAGATATAGGCAATGTATGTGCAAGGATATATAAACAACACAAGGGTAGATAATCTAAACAAGATAGTGGATGATATGGTAATGAGCAATGCACAATTGGCGATATAAGATAAATGCAAAAATAAATACGCCAAAGACAAACTCAAACAAGCAATATGATCACGGAGTTCGGACCTTTCGTCCTACGTCTCCGCTCCCCACTCCCGGGGAGAAATCCACTATAAACCGGGTTTTCTACGTTCACCCGAACAACGTTTACACCTCACACTCGGTTTTCTAGCTAACCGAAAACTTTACAATCAACACACTATTGTAATCCCATTCTACACCTACTAAGTGTTGGACCTAGCCGTATCTCCCTCAAGTGC